TATTGGTCTGACCTTGATCAAATTCATATGGGACCACGCGAGAAGTACCAGCTTTCAAATAAAAAAAAATCGAAATCTGTTCACCCAGTAAAAAACTATGAGGTAACACACATTAAAAAAAAACGTACAGTCGAATTGAGTACCGTCTCGTTTTTGGAAGTCGGAAGAAAATAAGCGTTTATTAACATTTTCTATGAACTAGAGTATAGCCCAATATGGAATAAATATGGTAATGTGACGCATTGAGTGACAGAAATAAATAAAAGCATATTTTACAGTACATGCAGTTAGGTTATGGAATTCTCTTCCTGCTGCAATTCGAGAGGCTCAAACAGTGTCCGTGTTCAAAAAGCGAGTCAAAGAGCACTATCTTTCTTTGTCATCCCAATGATTATATATATAATATATTATATATATTATTCAAACGATTTCTATTCATAGATTTGGTCATGCTTTATAATGACATGGTCAACAAGCAGTGTTAAATATCATGAAATGAACAAAACATTTCATGAAATGACCGACAACCGATGTGGAAGGTTCTCGAGTGGCAGCGTACCGGTAGGCGAAGTGTAGGGCGACCCCCACGAGATGGAGTGACAACCTGGTAAGACATGCAGGAAGTCGGTGGATGCAGGTGGCTCAGGACCGTGCTTTGTGGCATTCCTTGCGGGAGGCCTATGTTCAGCAGTGGACTTATGAAAGCCTGTAATGATGATATATATATATCCACCTGCATCCATCGACTTCCTGCATGTCTTACGAGGTTGTCACTCCATCTCGTGGGGGGTCGCCCTACACTTCGCCTACCGGTACGCTGCCACTCGAGAACCTTCCCCATCGGTTGTCGGTCATTTCATGAAATGTTGTGGTCATTTCATGATATTTAACACTGCTTGTTGACCATGTCATGATAAAGCATGAACAAATCAATGAATAGAAATCGTTTGAAGATATTAATAACTAAACACAATGTTGCAAGTTTAAAGATAATATGGTCATATGCTGATATAACTAAATAGTTTAGCGTCTAGCGGCGCTGATAGCGTATTTTTTAACAGAAACAGAACTTTTAACAGATTTGACATCCCTTTATGCATTATTGATATAATACATAAATGTTCGCTTCTATCGCTGATATTACTAGATAGTATAGATTTGCCTTTCATAATTTCATCTAATAATAGCGCCTTCTACTTACTTCTAAGTAAACTAAAATAGTAAGTCACTGATAAAATTTAATAATAGAAGGTTACTGAACATACGATTTAAATGATTGAAAATTTGTTCGTGGCATCCTTGGATGTGTAGTTACTAGGTAAATGTGGTCAACAATCATGCAAAAGCTTAGTTACAGATTTTATGAATTGTATTTAAACAAATACGAGCGCCGTATAGCTCGCCGTGAAAATTCATCATGCCACAGGAACAAAACGTGTACGATTCCCTCGAGGAAATCCCGTGTTGGAATCAGCGCAGCGAACACTTTTTTGGTCAAAAACTCTCTGCGGCCTACTTTTTATGGGACATTATATGCAGTTTTTATTTCATTCATATTTTCATTCGTCAATATGTTACTTTTTTGTTTTCACTCTACCGTAAATGTTAAGGGTTGCAAAGATGAGTAGAACTCAATATCGTCAGCCTATCAATAGTCTACTAAAATGAAAATAGACGTCCCCCATAAACCGTCAAGTAGCTAAATATTTGCTATAGTTGCCACGCTTGCTAGGCGGGTTGGCAACCGCAGCTATTATTATTTTGATCTGTTGTCAGGAAGATGATGCTGCCCATCTCCTGATTGCTTTCCTATGTTTCCTCTTACGACGGGACGATATGAGGTGGCGCATTCTCTTTCACCGCCACAACAAGGTGAACATTTTTCTACCCCCGTTCATAGTGTAATGCTTCCCACGTTCTCTGTAAATCAAATTTGTAAGAAGTAAAACTAATTTTAAGGATTTTATCACGTTTAATTTTAAATTTTTTAATTCCCGATGTTTTGGGCACTTTATAGCACTCATTGTCACGGGAGGAATAAGGTGTTTAACGACCTGATGTCATAATTAGAATAGAGTAGAGTAAGAATATAATAGAATAAATGCAGTAGTATGCTTGGATTTGAATTTTATTAATTATGGGATCCTTAGCAGATGGTAGCACTCAGCCATTTTCCCTATTAAAATCAGGACATTTTTTTTAAATTTCAATAGCCTCGCGAATCATCATCGATACTAAACATGTTGACACTCTTTAGACTTCCCGGAGCGTCGGTGCTTCACATCAACGATATGTTCTTTTACACGTGTTTTATGGAGCTTTCATCCAAAGATGCGTATAAAACCTCACTTAAAAGAAGTTAAAACTCAACTTGATCAAATGCGTAACATTATTTTTATTCCATGTGTAGTATACATCATTATTGTACTGCATTTATGAAATTTTCAATTCTACTCGAACGTAAAAATAATATCTACATATATTTTATGTTGCCAATCAATATTAAATAGTGCCAATTAATTAATATAATATCCGAAATAAACATAATACCGTAAATTGATAGAAGACCATGAAAGTCGTCGTTATTTTGTTAAAACTAAATTACTTTAATTATGAATGAATGTTAAGAGTGAAATGAAAATAATAACAATAAATTTTGATTCCAAGACAGTTTACCTATCTTATATATATCCGATATAAAGAATAGTAGGTGGTTCTAGACTAAACTAGGTAGTTCTAGATATATTCACGTGTTCCTGTAGCATATAATATTATCATCATCTACGTCTAATTGTCTATTAGAATTAAAAAAAAAATCTTTGACATACATAGAGACACAGACACCGAGGTGACTGTAAAAGTGATCCAATTTCGCTAAATTTGGCACGGAACAGCATTAAATGATGTTCCTAAATTCAAGCTAACGCGAACGAAGCCACGGGTAAAAAGCTATTATGTAATAAATACGCTGCCGCATTAGTGAATATTTAAATAGTAAACTCATAATTAGGTGCATCAAAAATCATGCAATCAGCCGTATGTGATCACCGTGGTGACCCCATACAACTCAGTATATAGGGAGATATTAATCATTAAATTATTTTTTTAATTTAAATGCGACATTAGCAAAAAAATCCTTCTTCTATACAAATAAAAAACACAAATAAAATGGAAACGCTCCTTGATTAATATTTATAAAATTTATAATATATATATAGATCCGTTAGTATTTACGGATTTACTCATAAGTAGATATTGTTTTGGTTACTTATTTAGCTACAAACGTTTTAGTGAAGAAACCCACCGCAACCCACGGGAAACGTTGAGCTATGGTATCACGATACGCCGCTGTTCGCGGACGAAACTTTGAGCGGAGCCACAGACCAAATTTGCCGCTAGAGTTGGGCTCACTGGCACTTTTAAACGTTTCTTTTTTTGCGGGACCCATGATGTCCATGGATTCCGCATAATGGGTTAGGACTTCATCACGTGGGAGCTGTGTAGGGAGGAATTATGGAGGAGTTCTCTTAAATTTCCAACACAAGCCGTAAATTATATAATATTGTACAAAGTGTATTGTCACTTAAAGCTTCTGTAAAGTAGAAGAAACTTTAGTTAATTTCTTTAAGGCTTAAAGCAGTTGCTCCTATTTTCGTAATCCAAACTCATTGAATAAGTTTTGTCACAACAAAATATAAGACAGTTAAGTTCTTGTAACTCAAGTTTGTAGCGTTATTTAAAGCTAGGAACTACTATGTTTTGTTTTGAAATTTGCCTTTAAGATTTGTCTTTGCCGTTGAAATATTATTGTTTATTATTCTACTTCTTTGCGCTACAAATTTCATCAAAAAGCCACCTGAGTGTTTATGCGTTATTATATAATACCAGTTGACTTACGAATTTATAATATTATGTCGTTAAAAATAAAAAAAACGGCTCTTTCAGTGAAGACTTTTGATTAATATTTATTGAAAATTGTAGCATTTTCTTAATAAAATACTATTAATGTTATGAATATTATTAATATTCCCTATAAGCACAACTGGTAAGCTGAAAATGCTTGTATTAGGAGTGATCTCGATAGTAGTCGAATGGTGGATTTGGGCCAACCTTTTGAGTTCGCAATCCGCACCCTGTCATAGGCTATTGTCGCTTAAAAACATTGTAGCATTGAAAGTTCTAAAAAACGAAACCAAGGGTAGGGTTTATCCCTAAGGTAAGGAAAAGTAAAGTAACGGCCTTTACGTCGCTTAGCTGGGCGTAAGTCTCCTGTCATTTGAGTGTTATTAATCCGCCGCACTGTTCGAATACGTGTTAGCCGACTTCACATGAAGCCAAAATATTTTAGTTTTAGACATAAAATATGTTGTGTTATATATTTGTAATTCAGTCGCGCAAAAACTGCTAAAGGTATTTTGATGAAACTTGACAATATTAGATATAAAATACAATATTAAAAATGAAACTGAAATAGAACAGGCTAAATTTTTTGTAATCACAATGTTTGAGTATATCAAAAATTACAGTTTTATATTCAATGGAGCTAAAATTTCTTCAATATATTTCTTATTTGACGAAATGTAGATTTGGATTTTCTATTCATTTTTTTTTCCAATTCAGTGTTAACATAACACACATATAATTCACTCTTCCATAGCACTTACTAATAAATGTGCATGTGTGCGTTTGTGTGTGCGTGTGCGCTTGCATGTGCATTTGCGAGTGCATTGCAATATTTGTTTATTTGATTAAGAAATTAAGCCTAATTACAATTTATTGAATTTTACTGTTGGGAAGCTGGCTGGTTAAATATTCTGATTTCTGGATAAAATTGTAGGGTATATTATAGTTATTTTTGTTATTGGGTATGTAGGTAGTTGGTATCAATAAAGCTTCCAGTTCGCTGTTCAACTCTGCCTTTTATTGACGTTACATTGGCGACGAGTCCGTAACCACGCGTTGTTTCGTATTATCCAAAACGTTATAAAGTGGTCGTAATTATGCCTATTGGTAAATTAGAGCCGTTCGATTTAGCCAGTAAACAGTGGCCCGCGTATATTCGTCGAGTTCAACAATTTATATTGCTAAACGAAATCAAGTCTGAATTACGAGTTCCTATGTTAATAACCGTGGTCGGCGAGGCGACATATTCGTTGATGTGCGATCTATGTTCTCCTGCACACCCGGAAGACAAAACTTTCGAAGAATTGGTGAGTTTAGTGTCGAGTCACTTAGAACCACAGCGTTCCGAGATTGCAGAGCGCCACGTGTTCCGCTTGCGCAGGCAACTCGGAGATGAATCACTTGCCGAATATTTGCAAAATCTGAAACATTTGGCTTCGACCTGCAATTTTGGAGTGACACTTGAAGAGAATTTGCGGGACCAATTTGTATCAGGTCTTGCGAGCGAGGCGATGCGGTCCCGTATTTTTGCCGAAAGAAACATTCGGTACAAGGAGGCGGTGGAGTTGGCTTTTGCGCTGGAGGCTGCGGAGAGACACGTGGAGGTGAGTGGTACCACGGCACCAGCATCGACCTCAGGTGTTCGGAGCAGCAGTCTAGAAAGAGGCGAAGGTTTACATCAGGCCGGGGAGCGCCGGGGGCGGCGAGACCTACGCTCGGTCTCTAGAGGAGGCACCATGGAGACGCGACGGAGTCAGCGAAGCTCGGGGCCATGTTGGCGTTGTGGAAAGCCACATAGGGCGGATAAGTGCCGATTTGCGCAATACAATTGTGATAAGTGTGGTAGGCGCGGACATCTTAAGGTGATGTGCAAAGAAGTGCGCGACGGGAGGCAGTCGAGCGGCCCCCAGCATTATGTGAGTGACGTGAGTTCTGAAGGAGAGGATTTTTTTAATATCCAGCTGAAAGCTAAAGGTAACGAGTCTTATAAATTAACTTTGAAAGTAGATGGACAGCCGTTAGTTTTCGAAGTCGATACCGGTAGTCGCATTTCCACAATTAGTGAACGGTTTTATTTGTGTCATTTTCCGTATAAATCCCTTATCAAAGATAATGTAAGATTACATAGTTATGTCGGTTCGCGAATCGAATCTTTGGGTTTTATATCGGTCAATGTAGCATTGGGAGAGGTCAGAAAAAAAAATTGTTCTTTATATGTAATTCGTAACGGAGGATGCCCTTTAATAGGTAGACAATGGATTCGAGCTCTTGAAATAAATCAAATTAATATTAGTGTTAATGAAATTCTAGATGATTCATTCGTGAGCCGACTCATTAGCGAATTCCCCGAAGTGTTTACAGATAAGTTAGGCACTTGTACCGAAAGCGTTCAACTACAGCTCAGTGACGAACAACCTGTGTACGTGCGCGCGCGGCCCGTGCCATTGGCGCTTCGATCCCGGGTCGAACAGGAGCTGAGGAGGCTTGAGGCCGAGGGTACCATTTTTAAGGTGGACCACTCCGAGTATGGTACTCCTATAGTACCGGTTATAAAAGAAAACGGCGATATACGAATTTGTGGAGATTATAAAATTACGATAAATCCAAAGCTCAAGCGGGAGTTTTATCCGTTACCGCGAATTGAAGAACTTTTTGCCAAATTAAGTGGTGGTGAAGAATTTTCGAAAATTGATCTAAAAAATTCCTATCAACAATTACTGCTAACGGAGGATTCTCGGCGTTACACTGCAATTACTACCCATCTAGGCACATTCGTATATCGTCGACCCCCTTTGGGTTGTCGTGTGTTCCCGAAAAATTCCAGAAAATTATGGAAGAGACACTCAGCGGTATACCCGGTACGGTAGTTTTTTTGGACGACGTTTGTGTCACGGGAGCTACGCGAAATAAACATCTGAGTAATTTACGAGCTGTACTTGAACGGTTGCGAACTATGGGCTTTACCGTTAAATCCGAAAAATGTAAGTTCTTACAAAAAAGTGTAAAGTACCTAGGTTTTATTATTGACAAGCAGGGATTGCACCCCGATCCGAAAAAGATGGAAGCCATTTCTAATGCTCCGACACCACTGAATGTGACCCAATTAAAAAGTTTTCTTGGTCTCCTTAATTACTATGGCAAGTTTATTCCTAATCTCAGTACCATTTTACATCCCTTACATTTGTTATTAAACAAAGGAGTTAATTGGAAATGGACTTCAAAATGCGAGCAGGCCTTCCGAGAAGCTAAAAGAGCTTTGTTGGGCGAAAAGGTTTTGGCTCACTATGAGGAAGGGCGGCCACTGGTTCTGTCGGTGGACAGCAGTGCGTATGGGCTGGGCGCAGACCTAGCACACGTATACCCCGACGGCACCGAGCGACTGGTCAGCTGTGTATCGCGTACGCTTAATGCTTCAGAAAAAAATTATAGTCAATTAGATAAAGAGGCTCTGGCCATATTTTTTGGAATAACGAAACACCACCAATATGTATTCGGTCGACGCTTTGTTTTACGAACGGATCATCAGCCGTTAAGTTACATTTTTGGGAAAAGAGGCGGGATACCACAAACGGCAGCCAGTCGCTTACAGCGGTGGGCTGCCCGATTGGCCGCCTATGATTTTTCAGTGGAGTTTGTTCGCTCGGCTGCTAACGGCCCGGCCGACGCGCTTTCCCGCCTTCCTCTGCCAACCGAACGTCACCAGTCCGCGGTCACGTCTTACATTAATTTACTGGAAGATACTATCCCGGTAAACTTCAAGGATATTAGTATAGAAACAAAAAAGGATACGGTATTGAGCCGAATTACAGGCTATGTAATGTTCGGTTGGCCCTTCTCGACCAAATGCGACGACGAGAAGCCGTACTTTGATAGAAAGCAAGAAATGTTGCTTGATCTAGGCTGCTTGATTTATAAATATCGCGTCGTAATCCCTCCCTCACTAAGGGAACGAGTTTTATTGGAAATTCATGAGGGTCATTTAGGAATGAATAAAATGAAAAATCTAGCTCGAAATTACATCTATTGGCCTGGTATAGACCAGGACATAGAAAACTTATGTCGTAATTGCCAAGCGTGTTGCTCAGTTCGTGATAGTCCTCCCCGAGCCGTTCTGCATCCATGGGAATTCCCTCTAAATCCGTGGCAACGTTTGCATGCAGATTTTGCCGAATACGTGGGCAAGAAATATCTCATAGTTATAGACGCCCATTCGAAATGGATAGAGGTAGTACCGATGGGTCGGACGGATGCCAAAGAGACCATCGCCGCATTTAGAAGTATGTTCGCAAGATTTGGCTTGCCGTCGCAATTGGTCACGGATAACGGACCGCCTTTTATGTCCATAGATTTTAAAAATTATTGTAAAAAAAATTGTATTAGGCATGTGTCATCGGCTCCCTACAGACCTCAGGCAAATGGTGCTGCGGAAAATGCGGTGAAAACCATTAAAAAAGTTATAAAACGGGCGGTTTTTGAAGGGGAAGATATATTACAGGCAATAAACAGATTTTTATTTCAATACCGCAACTGCGAACATGCCGCAACCGCGGTGTCACCTGCAGTGGCATTGTTAGGTCGCCGTCTACGCAGTCGCCTGGATGCTTTACGTCCCAACACGGCTGAGGTGGTGCGAAGGGCTCAATATCAGCAGGTTGCCAATTCCGGGGGTTCGGACCGGAATATAGCTATAGGAGACCGGGTGTTGACTAGAAATTATACACCAAAAGGGGGCAAGTGGCGTGAAGGAAAGATAGTAAAAAAAACGGGACCCGTTTCTTATAGGGTCAGCATGGGGGATGGAATCGAGTGGAAAAGACATATCTACCAAGTGATACCAACCAATCGTAAAAGTCGTTATTCCCTTTCGAGGCCTAGCATTAGCGAATTAAAAGAGACCGAGGAGACCCCACACCTGAGGCCTGATAGTGGCACCGATGACTTATTTGAAGATGCAACCGGAGAGGGCAATGACCAGGACGAAAAAGGCAGTTCGAATATTACAGATAATGCAGAGAGAAACTCCTCGTCACCGCCTTCACCGAGTGTATCGGCTAGAGCACTGCGTGCTTATATTCGAGCCAAGAAAAAGGAATTGTAATTATTTTCTTTTTTCTGTGTAATAGGAAAGAATCGGAATTAATGTACAATAACATAACATCCTTTTGTTGGGTGATAGAGTTAGATGTTTTTATTAAATGTTATGTCACTTAGTCATTTAAAGGGGGAATGTGTAGGGTATATTATAGTTATTTTTGTTATTGGGTATGTAGGTAGTTGGTATCAATAAAGCTTCCAGTTCGCTGTTCAACTCTGCCTTTTATTGACGTTACAAAAATCAGCAACCAGATTCTAAATTCCAGACCCTAGTAACCCTACACGTGGCATATCTGATGATACTCTTAAATTAACATAACCGCATAATAAAAGAGTTTAGGTTTTTTTTCTGGAAGGTTTAAAATCATATTTTTCTGGAAAAATACTGGCGACACTAGATTCCTTTCACATATTTGGTAGTTATTGGGAGCACTAAGCTCGAAGTTGTTGACGAGTATGTTTACCTTGGACAAATAGTCCGACTAGGTAAGTCCAACTTCGACCGAAAGGTCAATCGACGGATTCAACTCGGCTGGGCAGCGTTCGGGAAGCTACGACACATCTTCTCGTCAGACATACCTCAAAACCTGAAAACGAAATTGTACAACCAGTGCGTGTTGCCAGTGATGACTTACGGATCTGAGACGTGGTCCTTCACTGCTGGCCGTATGAGGAAGCTCAAGGTTGCTCAGCGAGCTATGGAGACGGCTATGCTCGGAGTTTCTCTGCGTGATAAACTTAGGAATGAGGATATCCGCAGTAGAACCAGAGTAACCGACATAGCCCAACGGATTAGTAAGCTGAAGTGGCAGTGGGCCGGCCATATAGCTCGAAGAACCGACAACCGATGGGGAAGAAAGGTTCTTGAGTGGCAGCCTCGTACCGGTAGGCGAAGTGTAGGGCGTCCCCCCACGAGATGGAGTGACGACCTGGTAAGACATGCAGGAAGTCGATGGATGCGGGTGGCTCAGAACCGTGCTTTGTGGCATACTTTGGGGGAGGCCTATGTTCAGCAGTGGACTTGTGAAGGGCTGTAATGATGATGATGATGATTTGGCAAATTAGATTCATACACAATTTCTTGTCTTTGGGATATTTTATTAATGTCGTATTCACGCTCGTCTCGATTTCCGGTGAAGTCACACTCAAAGTGTCCATTTATCGCACACCCATAAATCATTGGATATTTTACTTTTTCCACTACATTTATTTTATTTACTTAAAACGAGTCTATTTGTATAGTGCTTTCTAACAGATGCCAGCGCCATAAGTTTATAAATCCAGACCCTCGTCAAACGGATGCTACACAGTCGCTAGAAGCGTATTACTAACAAAAGGCATCAAGAGGATAAATGTCACTGACAATATTTCATCTCGCAATGGATGTTGACATTTTACTGCATGATTTATAATGTGAAAATATTTTTAATTTACTCCTGAATATACAAATAAGGTTTGATGTGAATTTCTCTTAAACAATTCATTATATTAATCTGCCTTCTTACACCAATTATTAGGCCTGATTGAACAATAAGCCTAACATCATAACATATTTCCCGTGGGATGCGGTGGGTTTCTTCACTAAAACATTTGTAGCTAAATAAGTAACCAAAACAATATCTATTTATGAGTACATCCGTAAATACTAACAGATCCAAATGCACAAACATTTGTCGTGAAGCGACAATTAAAGTGATGAATGTAAGTGAAGTGTTAAATGTAGGTCTAAATATAATCCAGATAAGTTGAAAAACTAGATGAAGTTTTGTTTAAGAATTTGGAAGGTATGAAAAGGATAAATAAATAAAGAGTTAAGAAATTAAGAGAGAAAGAGAACTTTTACGTTGGGCGCCAAAATGTCGTGAAGCGACAATTAAAAACAAAAAAGAACCTTACCTAGCAACAACAAAACAACAAAAATAGGGCAAAACAAATAATCTATTTAAAATATAAAAAAAGATGTTTACAGATTTATATAAAAAAATGATGTATGAGGATGAAGATGGGTGACGTGATTTACAATTATTTCTAAAAAAAAGAAAATAAAAATGATGAGTATTGAAGTTGAGGCCGAAGATTCAAGTGGTGCACCGCTTTTGGTGGTGGTCTTCGCTGCCCACAGATTATACACAGGCTGTGCTGGTGGTAGGCCCACAGCGCCTGGAACGAGCACGCACAGCGTAGGTGAAGGCGTGGGCGTGTCTAGGCGACGACTTCAGGTGAATGCAGAGGTTTGCAAGATCCGGCAACTTCAGGCAAGACAGAGGCTTGCAGGATCCCAGCGACTTCAGGCAGGACAGAAGCCTGCAGGATTTGGCGACTTCAGGGAGGACAGAGGCTTGTAGGATCCGGCGACTTCAGGCAGGACAGAGGCTTGTAGGATCCGGCGACATCAGGCATGACAGAGGCTTGCAGGATCCGGCAACTTCAGGCAGGACAGAGGCTTGCAGGATACGGGGACTTCAGGCAGGACAGAGGCTTGCAGGATCCGGCGACTTCAGGCATGGCAGAGGCTTACAGGGTCCCGGTGACTTCAGGCAGGACAGAGGCTTGCAGGATCCGGCAACTTCAGGCAGGACAGAGGCTTGCAGGATCCGGCGACTTCAGGCAGGACAGAGGCTTGCAGGATCCGGCGACTTCAGGCAGGGCAGAGGCTTACAGGGTCGCGGTGACTTCAGGCAGGACAGAGGCTTGCAGGATCCCGGGGCAGTGCGGCCCCGGGATAAGGCCTTTAGGAGATGCTTCGAGTTTGAGAACCGAAGCGAACTGAGTTTCTTGACCGATTGTTCGGCTTTTATACCTTTTTAGAGAGAACGGAAAAAGCAATTTTTTTTGTAAATGGCCAAGAGAAAAGAGTATTTATGTGGAATTATCGAAGTAGAAACAACAGACCGGTAGCGAATTTGAATAAAAATTGCCATGACAACCAGATAAACAACGATGTCAAAACATGTCAAATTTTGGTTTTAGGCTCGTGATAGAGAAACGGCAAGATTTAAGTGAAAATTGAGATATTATTGCTATAGGAAAAAAGGTAGCGCACCAGCGCGCACAAAGCCCGAAATTGCAGAGTTACGGAGAACTAAATAAAAGATCGAAAAAGGTAGACTCCATCGACACCAAATTAAAAAATGCTGATAGCGTGAAAATACGAAGTGAAAATGATTTGTTATTGTGTTCTTATGGTTTAAAAACGTTACAGGATCCTATTGAAATAAAGGTGATACAAAATATCCAGTTTTGAGGTGAATGCAGAAAATCAAAACAGAATGGAAAAATGAATTTAAAATAGTGTAAAATGATATGTAAGTATCATAACACTACACATTTGCGCTGTTTAAAATCTCAAACCGTGTAGCAGCGGTGTAAGAATATGCACTACCCCATACCATCGTGTAGGTATCTTGCGACAGAGGGAAACAAATCAGGAGATGGGCAGCAGCGTCTTCCTAATAATTACTAAAAATAAAAAATAAATTGCAGTTGCCAACCCGCTTGCCAAGTGTGGCAACTATGGCAAATAACCCCCGTTTTAGGCAATCTACGGGGGAGACTATGTTTACCTACTACAATGTGTTCTTTAATAGGCTGTAACGGTAACGGAACGGTAAAATCTTAAATAAGAGAATTAATGATTCATCCATCAAGTTTGAATGAGAATATTTTAAAATTAAAAAAATTGTCAGCTGACTTCAATATAAGTTATTAAGAATAACTCAAAAATTATTGGTCTGACCTTGATCAAATTCATATGGGACCACGCGAGAAGTACCAGCTTTCAAATAAAAAAAAAATCAAAATCTGTTCACCCAGTAAAAAACTATGAGGTAACACACATTAAAAAAAAAACGTACAGTCGAATTGAGTACCGTCTCGTTTTTGGAAGTCGGAAGAAAATAAGCGTTTATTAACATTTTCTATGAACTAGAGTATAGCCCAATATGGAATAAATATGGTAATGTGACGCATTGAGTGACAGAAATAAATAAAAGCATATTTTACAGTACATGCAGTTAGGTTATGGAATTCTCTTCCTGCTGCAATTCGAGAGGCTCAAACAGTGTCCGTGTTCAAAAAGCGAGTCAAAGAGCACTATCTTTCTTTGTCATCCCAATGATTATATATATAATATATTATATATATTTATAGTGGTATTTAGTTATATGTATGTTTACATGGATATGTTTTTATTATCTTTACTTTATATTAATATTATAAAATTTTATTATGAGAGTGTACACTAGATCAGCTTCTCTTTTAATTTGTCCAGTATCAGGCCTGCTGGAAGAAATTTCAACATGAAATAAGCAGTGCCTTTGTGCAAAATATCTTTTTTTTTTCATTGTAACATTATTTTGTGTGTACATAAATTGTTAAATAAATAAATAAATAAAAGCCTTGATTCTCGCTTGCACGGACATTTAACAAGAAGGCTCCACAAACGCTTGAGTGGTTTTTATTGTTAACCGTAGGCCGTGGTTGATCAAACTTCGGCTAATAAGGCTCCGTCATGACAATAGGAGAACACTTATGTCTATCCCCCTCCTCCTGTGCGAGCGTAGTCCTCACCCGGGTACTACATATAGTTTTAATGTATTACGCGTAGTTTAAAATAGAAGTCAAAGTAGATTAACATATACTTAGCATTTTTTTAAACGTAACAGTCACACTAGGATATTCTCCTGCATCGTAGGGGCAGTTTACAAATATAAATTACACAAGGATAAACATCCAGGCCCGGAACAATTATTTGTAGGCCATACTTGTTCAGTGCGGGATTCGAACCCGCAGCCCTTAACGCTGCAACTCAATTGCTAAGTCAATGCGCCACGGAGCCGTCATTTAAAAAAATATACCTTATAGTAGAATCCATAAGTTTACAACGTCATCATCATCATCAGTCATCATCATTATAACCGTAGGTTCACCCTTATTTAACTTGTACACCAATTTTACTTGTACTTATGTAACTGTAAAATCCAACCGACTAACAGCACTAACATC